GAACAGTGCCTGGCACACAGTGACCGATCCATAAATATTTGTGAGCAAGTTATGATGTTGTGAGAAAATTTGCAATAGTGTTATGGGAACAACAAGATAAGAGAGTGTAATTGCAGCAAAAGGGATTGTGAAGGATTGTGAGGTGACAGTTGAGTAGGGCTTTGAAGGATCAGTAGAATCCAGAGAGCTAGGGAGTAAAGAGGGCATCAGTTAGGGTTTGATCGGAGAAACAGACTATTAAAAATGATAGAGAATATGGGATTCCTTTTAGGAAATAACCTTGCATAATTATGGGAGCCAGTTGAACACTTTATGTCCAGCTGCTTTTACTGTGTCTGTTCAGTGCACAGTAGGCCTAGAGCAAGGCGGAACAGTCAGAAGGAAAGGACAGACACAGAAAGGGGAAGACCGAGGCTGAAGGCAGCCCATGGGGCTGAGCTTGAGCACTGTCAGTTTCTGAGGCTGATGAGCCTCCAGCCTTGATGACATGGGTGACTTGTAGGAAATCCAGCATCCTTTATGGGAGAGCTAAACGTGTACTTGGTCCTGAAGCCTAGGGCGGGTCTGGCAGGAGGCAGAGGAGCCAAGAGCCAAACGCTGCCCAGTCTAAAGTGAGCGAGCAGGTCAGAGACATCGAGTGGGAGCTGTGACCATACCAGGAGCCCTGCAGCAAGCATCCAAGCATAAAAAGGAAAGGCCTGCTGCTGAATGTGCATCTTCCAGCTCTCATGCAGGGTCATGTGGCCCAGAACTACGCAGATAGAAGATGTGGTCCTGGCTTAGCTAATTTAACCCAGAACACATCACCCGAAGAGGTAACACTGGGCTTCAGTAAACTGGGTGTGGGAGGCAGAGGAGACCCATGGGCTCCAACAGGCCCCCACTGCTAAGCACCCCTGGACAGGTCCTCCTGGACAGAGGTGGACAGTGGCTTCCCAACTGCCACCTGCCCCCTGCTTCTCTGGATGTGAGGTCCAGTGTCACGTGGTATTTTGCTACATTTGAAGGCAACACAAATGAATCACACAGAACTTGTAACTTAAGATCCAGAAAGGTACAAAAGGCTCCTGAGCAGGGCTGGAAAACACCCAAACTTTGGGCTACAGCTGCCTCCAGCCACATGCCCTGTGGGTTTCTCATGAGAAATGCAGTTAGTCCCAGCCATTCCCTCCATGGGATGCACTGGGAGTGTGGGGTGAGTGTGAGAGAAAATGGCCCTTCTGCTCTCCTAGAGTGGCCAGAGATGTGTTGGGGCTGTTCATGGGGTGTTTACCAAATTCTAAGGTCTGGGAACCACTGGTGAACACAGCAGAGTCCCTGCCCTCATGGTGCTTACCTTCTCATCAGGGAAACAGAAAAAATGTAAGTAATTAATATCAGGCTTGGATATGTACTTTGAGGAAAACACAGCAAGGGACGATAAGGAAGTGAGGTGTCGTGTTTTAGAGCAGATGATCAGGGAACAGTAATCCTGGGGAATGAGCACTTAAGTACTCACTGTGTAGCTAATGCTATTACAGGACTTTACCTTTGTTGGCTCATTTAATCCTCATGACAACCTAAGTAATTTTCCCAAAGTTACATCATTAATAAGAAGAACTGGAATTTGCACATAGGCAGTCTGGTACCATAGCCCAACCTTTAAACCAGGGAAGGTCTCTCAGTTGTGGTGAATGAAGTGAGGGGGTAAGACATGCATATATCACAGGAAAGAGCATTGCTGGCAGTGGCAAAGTCAGGGCAAAGGCCCTGAGGCAGGTGCGTTCTTATTGTCTGGAGGGGGTGAGATGAGAAGCTCAGTTCTGGACATGTAGCAGCTTGAGACGCTTACTAAGCATCTGAGTGATGTCTGGAAGGTAGTTGGATGTACAAGTCCAGACTTCAGGAGAAAGCTTGGAAATAGATAAATTTGTTGTTATCAGTATGCATGGAACTAAGTGAGATGCTAGGAAATGAAAGAGAAAAGAGTAGTCCAAGGACTAAGTTCTGGGACAGGAGAAAAGAAGGCTTCAGCAGAAGAAACTAAGAAGGAGCAGCTGGCTAAGGAGAAGGAAACCCAGGAGAGAGGGCCACGTGGAACCTGTCTGGAGCAGGGACCGACCAGATACCCACTTCTGCAGAGAGGCCCAGTTAGCTGAGGCTCCAGGGGTGGCCACTGGGTTTGGTGACACTAGCCTTGAAGTTGGAAGGGCAACCAAAACAACTTCAATCCAGGTCAAGTGAGGATGGGAACCCAAGTCTCCATCTTCTGGCTTCAATTTGCCCCTTCCCACCTCTGAGGGCCCCTGACACCTCCCAATGTCCCCAGAACAGTTTGAAAAGCACAGATATAACCAACCCCTTTGTTTCACAGTTGATGAAGCTCGGGTCCAGAAAAGGAAAGAGACTGGCTCAAGACCATGGTACTAGTTAGTGGAAAGCCCAGGTTGCAATATTATTATTATTTTTTTATTTATTTATTTATTTATTTTTAGTCTCCCAAATAAGCAGTTTTATTCAATATATAATGAACAATTTTTTCATTAAATGGTTTGTACTTTGAAAGAACAGAGAGCAAACCCTACCAAAGTCTTTATGTTAATTCAATTCAGGACACAAAGGATTGTTAAAATATAATTACAACCATTGAGTTAATATTAAAATATCATATTTTAACACTTCTGTATATTAAATGACAGTAACATTGGTAATAGTACCTGGCAAACAGAAGGCACCTAATGTTTGTTGGTTCTTAAACTGAATGACTTGGCCAAATAAAAGACAAATGCATCCTATATTTTATAACAAACAAGTATAAATTCTTTCACAGATCCTTTCAATGAATAGTAGTATTTCATCCTTAAGACAACAGTTAACCATTAGTAAAAGCTCTCAAAATACTTTAAGGCACTGAAACAGATGTATACGTACCATATTTCAACACAATGAAATGTAATGAAAATTACTCTGAATGAGAGAAGTGCATAAAAGAAGTAAGAGCACTTTTATTACCTGGATAATGCATAGTAATTTAACTGTTAAATTAGAATCTGTAAAATTAAAATTGTCCTTCTGTTTCTCAGCCTTAACAATGACTTTCAACTGATTGATGACAGTTATAAAAACGACATAGGTTAAACTGTATTCCTCCAAAGAAGCTTATTTTCAAGTTTGCCTTCCCTTGCCAAAACCATGTTTTCTGAAGTCAACATATTTTAAGTATTTCACACTTTACAATTATTAAATTTTCAGGTAAAAAGCTTTATTGAATGATTCCCATTAGAAAACCTCTGAGATTATTCACATTAATGAAAATTTTCACAGCTGCAAAAATGAAGTTATTGCTAATGACAGGTCCTTCTCTATAGGAACTTCTTAACTGCGCGTTTTCTAAATGAACACATGAGAAAACCTCCAATATGTCTTCTAGTTACATAATATAAACTGCAAAATCCACAAGGGAGATATTTCTATGAGAAATGTTAAATTTCTGGACAATCCTTTTCCTTTTGGCTAACCAGATCTGTATGTTAGTGATGGGTTCCAGGTTGTTTAGCTGGACAGTAGACAAATTATTTTTATTCTCAACTTCAGTACTCCTTGGTTTAAAGACAATTTTTGGTGTTGCACTTCCCAGTCTGTGACCTGTCCTGAGAAGGGCTGAAACACAGGCTTGGTTGACATACACACTTCATTTTTCTTGTCTTCAACTTTAACATCAACCCCCTTTATCGAAAATTCCCTGTAACTCTAAAGGTAATTCCCCTTTTTTGATGGACTTAAGAAATTGCTGACTTGCACAATCAGAATAACTTCTGAAATCATCGTTGACTGTGAATCCATTTTTCCATAATTTTATACTTACATCTACCTGTTTCTTCTGTTCAGTAGGAGACAGGCATTTGGCACCAACTTTCTGAGCTTCCTCAAAAAGGGTATCAACAAAATATTCACAATTTGTGTGTTGATTATCATTAAGAGGTTGGTTATCAGATCCTGTTTCACAAGCCCATTCTTCTTCTGTGCTTTCAAGATTATCTACTTCTTTCATTCTCTTTTGGCTTACTTGGATTCAAACTGACTTGTACTGGAATACTGGCTATATCATTTTTGAGCTGGATGACTTCATACATGTTACTGAACTTCTCCAAGTCCCAGATGCCTAACCCCCGGGCGCGGCCGCTGGAGGGGGCCGCGCCGTTGCCTCGGGGCCTCATCCTCAATTCGCCCAGGGGCCGCGGGCGCCCCCGCCGCTGCTGGGGTCGAGCCCCTCGGACGGGGAGCACCGCCAACGCCTGAGCCTCTCAGGATCGGCGGCCGCGCCCTGCAACATTATTATTTAATGGCATTTACTAACAAAACCATCTGTTCCTAGACTGTCATAGGGTTTTCCATGGTCAGTAGTTACTGTGACAAGTAGAAAATCAAAATAAAGAAGACTTTTCCACCTTTGTATCTATGTGGAAAGGGAATAAAAGTAACATGAACAAATTCAATTCATAGAAAATTGTAAAGCCTCAGTGTTAACTCAGTTTCCACATTCTCCTCCCACCATACCCCATTTCTCCATGTTTATGGTCAGTCAACAAGTTCCATGTTTTCTGATCCTATGTAATGAGAGGCAGCAGACTGCCACCTGTAAAGTGGGTATATTAAAAATACCAGTTGCTCAGTGGCTGTTGCTGGCACTGTCTTTGAGTCCCTCACAACCCCAGAGTTAGATTGCATGTCTTGTTTCCATCACTCACAGATGGTGGGACCCCGAACAAGTTACTTGCTCTCCCTACGCTTTAGTGTCATCAGCTGCGTGAAGTGCTTTGAAAACCAGGATTACAGGGGTAAGGGCTGCTGCCGGCCCTCGGCCAGGCTCTGTGCTTGGGCCTCATCATCTCAAGCCTGTCAACTGTGCACCAGTAGTAGACTGGCAGGGGACTCATTCTCCTCTGTGCTCTAGTTAAATAAGCTACAGGTTGAATCAGGGAACTGTACGTAGTCTCATCTTGCAACTGTTTTTGTCTTAGGATCCATGCTTAAGGCTGAACGAACCTTCTCAGACCCTGACCAGAGAAGAGCTTCAAGATAAGTCAGCGGTTGAAGACAGAACCAGCAGCGATGAAGAAAGGTACAGGAGGCTGTGCAGACTTCCTAGCACTCCAGTGAATGACTCACATTGAAGGATTCATTCATTCATCCATACTCTCCTCAAGTATTTATCACTGCCCCTTGCATCATGCCTAGGGAGGGAATAGAAATGTTTTGTATGTCTTCCATACAGCTATGAGCTTTATATAAACTATCTTATTTAATTGTCACATTAACCCAGAGAGGCCATTTTATACATTAAGCACCTGAAATTTCAAAGAGGTTTGTAAACCTGCTGAAAGCTCAGTCATGGACTAGCCCCAAACCTCTGCTCTTTGTTTTCTGAGTGTTCTTTAACTAGGGGACATGGGGGAGCTTGGTCACCATTGGGAAATCCCCCATCCTGACTGCCTATATTAGTCATCTCTTGCTGCTGTAACAAACATTCCCAAAATATCAGTCATTTTATCTCACGGGTCAAGCTACCTTTTTCCATGGCTCTGCAAAGTTCTGCTGGGCTTCTATGAGCTTGGTTCCTGCCAGAGTCAGGTGTTATTGCCTGCCCCAAACTATGGGTAGAGTTCAAGTTGGTACCACATGCCTTCTCACTCTGGGACAGGGCTGAAGGATTAGTTCCTTCACGTTGTCTCCTCTTATGAGGACCTGAATCTCATCACAAGAGCTCTAGCCTCCCAACCTAATTACCTCCCAAAGGCCCCATTTCCAAGTATCATCACATTTTGTGGTGAAAGCTTCAACATGAGTTTTGGGGACCACAACTGAATCTGTCACATCACAGGAGGCAGAGGAAACAGAGAATGAATATTTGCTGCACAGTAATACAGCCTGTCACACCACCTCACAAGATTCTGTTGTCATGGGTCTATGGTACATCCCAACCCTGTGTATTTTGAGAAAGCTTCCCAGGTGATTCTGAGGACACCACAGTTATGATCTACTACCCTACACAAATAAGTGACTATGTGGACTCCTGATAGATACCAGATAGGCCATTCTCCTGCCATCTGGCTGCTTCCTAGGTAGGGTGATGCAGTCTATTCACAGTGCTTAATGAAATTAAGACTGGGTGGCTTATAAACAACAAAAATTTATTCTCACAGTTCTGGAGGCTAGAATGTCTGAGGACAAAGTGCTAGCAGATTCTGTGTCTGGTGAGGTCCCACTTTCTGATTCATAAAAGGCATCTTTTTTCTGTGTTGTCACATGGTGGAAGGTACAAGGAGCTGTCTAGGGCTTCTTTTATAAGGGCACTAATCCCTCTTATGAGGGTTTCACCCTGATGACCTCTCAGAGGCCCCACTTCCTGACACCATCACGTTGGGTAATAGGTTTCAACATACCAATTTTGGAGGGATATAAACCTTCAGACCACAGCACTGGGGAAGCAGGGTCCAAACTCCTAACCCAGATCAAAGGCAGTCTAAGGGAGCCTACAGTCCAGGGAAGTCACCAGCTGATAATACTTCCACAACATCCTGCAGATTCCATCTCAGGATCTGTGAGGCATGGAGGGATGTTGGTTAAAGAGCACAGACTCTCGAGTCAGGCTTCCCGGTTAAATCCTGGTATTACTTCTTCCTGCTGGCTTCCACAAACTTTGTCCTATTTATAACTCACAACTCCAGAGGAAAGAGAGAATCTTTTTCCTGAAACTACTGGTGGAAATTTCAAAGAGGTCTCTAAGGGGCTTTGCTTGGGTCCTATGTCATCCCTAAGGCAATCATTCTAGCCAAAGAAATGGAGTGCTCTGATTGGCCAGGTGTGTGTCACATGCCCTTCCCTGTTACTGCTGAGGATGATGCAGAGTTAGCTGCACCTGAACCCTGTGGACTAAAGGGGATTACTGCGGAAAGCAGAAAGCTTTCCCAGGATGCTGGACGGACCTACCACAGGTGGTGATCACTACAGCCTTGTCTTTTCTCTCATGTGGCTATACTGATAAGGGGGTGTCCTCAACTGTGGAAGCAAATGAGCAAGTTGGGGCTTGGGGGATTTTACCCACAGGGGTTTTGGCAGGAGTGGAGGGGCCAAACAATGATGGAGAAGGAAAGAAAGTTGTCTGAGATCTAAGGTCAGGAGGCCCAGGACAGAACAAATACAGTGCTATGGAAAATATTTGTACAAGAATATGTCTAGCAGCTTTATTCCTAATAGCCATGAAGTGTAAACAACTCAAATGTCTATCATGAGGAATATAAACAAATTATAGCCTATGCACGTAATGAAATACTAGTCAGCAACAAAAACGTAGGAACTATTGACATATACAACAATATGGATGAATCCCAAAGACATACAGTTGAGCTAAAGAAGCAGACCCAGAAGATTACATACCACATGATTCTGTTTGTATGATACCTAAGATTGGGCCAAACGAATCTGAGGTGATGGAAGTCTAGCCCTGGCTCCCTATGGGTGGTGGTTTGACAGGAAGGGTGGTGCAAGGGGAGTTTCTGGGTAATAACATGTTCTATATTTTGATGGGTGTTGATTTTATGATTATATGAATTTGTCAAAACTTACTAAATTGTACACTTAAGATCGGTGCACTTCACTATATGTAAATTTTACTTCAGTAAATTATTTTAAAAATCGTAACTGAGCTCTGGAACGAAGTCCAGACTGCACCCCCAGGAAGCATGAGGGATTGCTTACCTGTTCCACATACCGGACCTGGTAATGTCACTTGTCAGTCTTTCTCTCTGCCACCTCTCTCTGGTCACACCTCTGGCTGTCTCTGAACCGTTGGTTTGTTTCATACCCAGAGGTCAGAACACGCATCTTCTGGGTCTGTTTATTTCTTTTGTTATTCATTTCTTCTTTCTGTTTAGCTTTTGTTTATTTCTCCTTACAGGTGGTTACATTTAAGACATCCTCAAAAGCTTGAGGATAACCTAAGGGAACTAGAATGCAGAGAAAGAGACCCCCTCTCTTTATTAAATATTTGGTTGGTTCTCTATATAATCCTTACTATGTGTCAGACACAGTTTTAAGCATTTCTTAGATATTTATCCTCATAATAATCCACGTGAAAGTTACCATTAGCAACTCATGTCACAGATGAGGAAACTTGTGCTCAGACAGTGAAGATCTCACAAGGTCACATACCTAGTGGATGGCAGAGCTGGAATTTGAGCCAGGGTAGTCTTGTTCTGATGTCTAAGCTCTTAACCACAGTACTATGCTGCTCCTGGTTTCCTTCCCGTCTTTTCAGGGGTCCCCCCTGACTCTCTCCTTAACCCCCCAGCCTGTGCCCATGTTGCTGGGCCTTCCCACCTCTGCCAGGCTGGAGTCCCCCCATCATGGCCTTTCTCACTCCCCTAACCTCGGCTCCTCTGGCCTAATGTCCTTTCCAGAGTAAGCAAAACATCACTTACATCCCAGCAATCTCCAAAGAGGCGCCCACCGTGCGGCATCCTTTCACATTGTTACTGAGATAAACATATTAACATCACAATCTGAACCAGTTACATTTGAACTTCTCAGCTGGTTCAAAAGTTCAGAAGTGAGTAAGGGAAGGTCTCCTCCAAAGACACCTGTCAGCCTCTGTCCTAGGATGCAGAAACTACTGCAGCTTTAAGCCAGCATCTTCTTGTTCCTGCTACAGATGTAGAGGCTTATTTATAACCCTCCTATGTGTACTTGGGGACAGCCAGTAAAAGTTATGCACATGCTTTGAAATTTATAAAATACTATATTCAAGTAAAGCATTATTGTTTCATTTTTTTTTATATGCAGGAAGGGTTGTGAAATTAGATCACAGAGACCTCTATTTTGGAGCTCCCAAGGAACCAATAAGTAACTCTAAGCTCTCAGTCATTCTGACAGTTGATCATCATTTACTCAGCACCCACGGAAACAGATACTGGGTGGTGCCGGCTGAGTCCTGATTGTATTCCAAGTGCAATAGCACCTAGAATTTATATGTCAGGTTGCTTATTTGATTCCAGGGAGGATGTTTCTCGTTCCCACTAAACTGCTGTGGGAACTATGTTCTCCCAGCCCTGGTGGCTGAGATGTTGTTAGGATGGTCTTGTCACTCCCAACCAAGGATCTTCTGTGATTTTGGCCTCCTTGTCTTCAAAGGATTGAAGTCTCCCTCAAGGAAGGAGGTGACCTGCAACCTCCACTGGGCTCTTTGCTGAAGGAGAAGGCACCCAAAATCCAGCATCTGCAGGAGGAGTGGCGAAGCCAGAAGGCCAGGTTGCAAGCCCAGGTAGCCGGCCAGCGGGGTGGGGAGGTCCCCTCATGCGAGTGAGCCTGTGGCTCCTCCTCCTGCTTACAGACAGCCTTGGAAATGCATGTGAGGCCTGATCCATGCCCAGCTGGGAGGGCATTCCGGGTCAGGGCAAAGTGGGATTCTTGGTTCTACTTATTCATTCATGAACCTGCTGTGGCTCATGATCACGTGCTATGAGCCAGAAACTCTCCTAGGTGCTTGGGCTACATCAGTGAATAAACCAGACAAAAGTCCTGCACGATAGTGCTTGTATTTTAGCAGCGAGGTGGGTCAGATTAAAAATGCTAGGCATAAGAAATAAAAGCACATACTATGTCAGAGGATGATAAGTGCTTTGGGAAAAAGAAAAGACAGCAGGGCAAAAAGGATGGGAAACTGGTGTGGGGAGTGGGTATAGTACTAGATAGGGTTTCGGGGAAGGAAGACTTCAGTGAAAAATGAGATCTGAGCAAGCATGGGGAGGAGGTGAGGGAGGCTGCCAGGTAGACCCTGGAGGATATTCTGGGCCCCTCTTGATTTCTCTTGGCTGGTTGGCATCCCACCCATCTGTCACCCTTGCCTGGCATTTATGGCTCTAGCTGAGGAGCACCCTGGAGACTGGCCACCCCCAGATTCTTCAAGCTTGCGATTTCCACCCCCTGAGAGTTCCCACAGATAGAGGAGGCTTAGCTGGGGTGAGGAGACATTCGAAGGCTTTTAATTTAAAGAAACTCCTGGGCAGGGGAAGGGGCCTCACCTGAGAGCAGGATGCCTGTGGGCAGGTCTCGCAGATGCAGCGGGCTCTGGAGCAGTGTGCCAGCAGCTACAGGGAGGACCTGCAGGAGCTCAAGCAGCTCTCCGACCACGAAAGGGAGAAGCTGCAGCGCGAGCTCCAGGAGGCCGCTCAGCAGAGCCAGGCCGTGAGAGCCCAGCTCGAGGCTTCCCATCAGCGAGCCCTACGCGTGCTCGAGAAGGCCAAAAACCAGGAACTCAAGGTAAGGGGGATGACGATGAAGTCCTCTCTCTACTGAGCGCTTGCAATGCAAGCACCCTGCTCTGCACTTCAGGGGCGCCATTTGTACATCATGTCTAATCCCCACAGTCATCTTGCAAGGTCGTTACTATCATAGTCCCTTTCTTCAGATGAGGAAAAGGGCTAAGAGAGGTTCAGTAACTTGCTCAGGGTCACACAGCTAGTAAGGGGCAAAGCAAGGACTCAGACTTAGGTCTGAGATTTTTTGCTTTTCCCCATCTGTATGTGACCTTGCTGGTGTAAGAATGATTTTCGTTCATGACTTGGGCAGTGTCATGCTTGGTGCACGCTGGGGAGTTAGGCTCAGCCTGGGAGCTCAAATGGGGATGAGCAGGAGGGGTTGAGAAAAGCCAGCTCAGTGGGAAAGACCTGGTGCAGAGCTCGGAAAGCTGTGATGAGATCAGGCCCACTGGTGCCCGATCCAGCAAGGAGGCGCTAGACATTTCATCTATTCAGTTTCTCAAAAGGCGTTCATTCCCTCCTCTCTCTCGAGGGGAGGCTCCCTCTGTGGCTGCCTTAGATAACACGCTGCTCCCTCTGTCGGGGCAGTCCTCACACTCTAACACGTGACTTCTTTGCATGACCAAATCCACCAAGCGAAGCTGCCATCGGTAGGTGTTCATCACTGAACCATCTCCCAGTTCCCAGTAGCTCCTTAGTCAAGAGTCTCATTAAATGAAAGTTTCAAAGTTAACTTCCCCTTCTATAAACTGGGGTATCAATACCCACCTCTTTGAGTTGTCCAGATGATTAAATGAAAGGAAAAAGGGGGGCAGATTTCTGGTTTTAGGGTAGCAGAATAAAGACTTTTGAATCCTTTCCCATTGGAAACCTTCCAGAAGACAATGACCCAAAGCAGAAGCACACTCCACCCAGATGGAGAGAGGAGACATCTGCACACTGGTACCACATCATATGAAGACAGGGAACAAATGAGGAGATAGCATATGGCCTTGCAGAGCAGAGAAGCTCAGACCAAAGGGCCTGCAGGGAGAGAAGGATGAGACTCAAGTTGAATCCCGTGGTGGAGTTCAGGAATTGGAGGTACCAGTTACCTGGGAAGGCGAGAGTGGGGAATATGACTCACCCGGAACCCAGATTCCCAGCTTACCTGGCACAATCAAGCAATTATCTATGTCTTATTTAGGGACAAGAGATGGGAGTTGGGGGGTGTGGAATCTCTAGATAAAGAAAGTCAGGGAGACTCTGAATTAGGAAATACCAGTCCTGGAAGCCGGGATAAGATGTGGGTCCAAGTACAGATCTAGGTGAAAATGTGTATCCTGAGCCATTAGATGCACTCCTGCCAGTTCTCTCCCACCCGAGCAGTCCTTTCTCCTGCTCAGCCCCAGAAGGTCAGCAGCCAGAACTTAGATCTCCTAACAGGAGACTGGAGAATCCTCCCTGGGGAAATTGAACCACTCTAGAGAGAAGACCTATGGATTCTCACACTTGTGGGCTTCCAATAGCCTTGCTGGCTGGGCATCTGACACCCTCCAGACTCCAGAGGAATATACCATCCAACAGACCCTCTTCCAATTAGCCCTCAGAGAAGAGGATGCAAAGAGGAAAAAGAGGGCTAGGAGGTGCTGGCTTTCCTTTCCTTTAATAATGTTTGTCTTTTTATACTGTTTGGAATGTGTGCCCTGAAAAAAATAAAATGAAATTATAAAAAAAGGGAGAGAATGCATGTGGACTATTTGGCACTTAGTAAGTGTTCAAAAAATGTGAGTTCCCTTTCTTCTTTTTTTTCTTCTTTTATTCTCTTAAATCTTTGTCCACCTTGGCTTGCAACTGAAGTCCCAGGTTATTAGCTGCTGAGCAATGTTGGCCTTTTGCCTGAGCTTTATCCCTCTAGGCTGCAGACCTCAATCCCGTGCAGGAGACAAGGAAGCCCCTGGCCCACTGGGGTGGGGAGGAGTCCCAAGGGCTCTGGTTGTTTGGAGGAAGCAGGGTCTGAGGCCTGGCCATGGTGGTGGGGGGTGCTCTGCTCACCAGGGCCACCCTGCAGTTCTTAGTCCCTGGAGACCCTAGAACTGGATTGATGGGGTCTTCAGTGCTGGCTCAAGTCTGCATGGATTTATTCTAAAAGGAGACCAAACAGCCAGGTTCCAATTCTAATTAGAAACAGCAGACATAGAGTCAATCCCTATATAAGATAGGGAATAAGAGTGGGGTACCTGGGTTCAGATCCTGGGTTTGCCACTTCCTGGGTGGTGAGGAGCTCAGGCAGTCACCTAGCAGGTTTGTGCCTCGGCCTGAGAGCGTCAGCAGAGATAATACCAGTGAAGAACTTAGAGCAGAGCTTGTTCACGTCCACTCAGGCTGCTATAAACAGAATTCCATGATGGATGGCTTATCAACAATTTATTTCCACAGTTCTGGAGGCCAGAAGTGCCAGACCAGGGCACCAACAGATGTGGCGTCCGGAAAGAGGCTGCTTCCTGGCTTGTAGGTGGCCAGGAGGGGGAAGGGAGCGCTCTGGGGCCGCTTTTAGGGGGGGCACTAATCATGCTCATGAGGGCTTCACCCTCAGGACCTATCACCTCTCAAAGGCCCCCCTCCTCACACCATTACACTGCGGGGTGGGTTTCAACATACAGATTTGGGGGGGCATAAGCCTTCAGCCTATAGCACGGCTCAGTTGTTAAAAGAACCACTCTGATTACTCACTTGCCAATTCTGTGATACTGAGCAGCCCCTGTGCTGGTCCCAGGAGACACCAAGGTGATGAACACTCTCTCTCGGCTGTGTGGGGCCCACCTCCAGGGGGAAGGCACCCTCGCAAACAGGTTGCTCTAATTCAGTGGGTTAGGACCAGGAGATGGTTGCCCAAGGCATTTGGGGAGCACAGGGAAGGGGACTTTACATAGGATGGGGCATGGCGAGTGTGATAGGATGCAGAGTAACAAATAGGTATCTGGTTTTCATTCCATTTCTTGCACAAAGCTCCCAAAACACCTTGGAATTTCCTATGTGATGAGAGTCACAGAAATGTCAATGAGGTGACTTTTGGACCTCATTTAATGATGTGGACTGGTTGCCAGGGGATGAACCAAGCGACTAAATGGTTGGACCTCCCGGTCCCCCACTCCCAACCCGCCAATCTCTGGGGAAGGGAGAGAGGCTGGGGGCTGAATCTGTTGGCCCTTGCCAATGATTTGATCGATCATAACTATGTAACCAAGGCTCCCTAAAAGCCTGAAAGGAGAAGGTCAGGAGGGCTTCCCAGTGGGTGAACATCCATGTACTGGGAGGATGACGTATCCCAATTCCATGGGGATGGAAGCTTCTGCACATGGGACCCTCCCAGACCTTTTCTTATGTATGTCTTCATCTGGCTGTTGATTAGTATCCTTTAATATCCTTTGTAGTAAACCAGCAATCTAATGAGTAAATGACTTTCCTTAGTTCTGTGAGCCATTGTAACAGATAAATTGAACCCAGGGAGGGGGTCATGGGAAACTCTGATATAAACCAGTAAAAACCTGGGCTGGCAATGGGCATCTGAAGGGGGCGGGGGGTAGTCCCTTCAGCTGGGCCATTCACCTGGGGGATCTGATGCTATCTCAGGGTAGACAGCCTGAATCAAGTTAACTTGTAGGACACACAGTTGGCAACTGAGCATTGCTTGCTGGTGCAGGGAAACCATGCCGCCTACACACACATTGAAATTGGTGTCAGAACCTTTGTAGAGAGACGAGGTGGAACTGGGCTCCTTAGGAGGCCCCAACCAGCCACAAAAAGAGCACAGTAAACCTCTCATAGGTTTACTGGAGCAATATGCCAGGCATGAGTGTCTGGCTTGATACAAATGTGGGGTGCTAAGGGCTTCTGTGTGAGGAAGCAGACGATGCTGCCCTGAATCTTCTGCTGTCCCGTGACAGAGAGGGGCCAGGTCCCAGAGTAGGAGAGTTTGGCACCATCTTTTTCAAATGTTTGCTTAGACCTCTCCATTCCCATATCCCCTGGGATAAAACAATCACCAATTGGAATTCTCTGAGCCTGCAGCAAGTTCAAGAGGTGGAAATATTGGAGAGTTTGAAAAATGTGAGACTTTTATGTCTTAAGTACATTCAGCCTGGGCTGACTGAGGTCCCCGTGGAGGAGTGAGACCACTTCCCCATGTGTGGGAAGCAGCAGACAGAAAGCATGAGCAAGCGTCCGGGTGCTGCTGTGGCTGCTTGGCTGCCCTGGGCTCCCCTGGGAGGCCCCTCGTGCATATGGTGAAATCCCCTGGCTCAGTGTTCTCAGCGTGCATGGGGAGCTGGAAGGGCCTGGGCCCCAACACCCGCCGCCTGTGGGTTACTATCCTGCCGCCACCTTCACCTGCCTTCAGTCGGGTCATGTCGCCTTTCTGAGCCTGTTTCCTCTGCTGTTAAAAAGGGGATAAGGGAAATGATAATTCTTGAATCTTTTCTGTGTGACCTTGGAGAAGTGAATTTCTCCTAGTCTCAATTTCCTCATCTAAAAGGTGGGGCTGGTATTAATTGGAACTCTTCGTTGCAAAAAAACAAAGCAAAACAAAGCAGAGACTTTATGTTTTCTGTTGCTACTGTAACAATTATCACAGATCTGGTGGCTAAACACATCACAGATTGATCATCTGACAGGTCTGGAGGTCACAAGTCCTAAAATCACGGTATTGGTGGGGCTGTGTTCCTTCGAAAGGCTCTGGGAAAATCTGCTTTCCTGCCTTCTCCGCTCTAGAGGCTGCCTGCATTCCTTGGCTTTGGGCCCCTTCCTGTGTCTTCAAAGCCAAGTGTGGCATCTTCCCATCACCCCTTTCCTCTGCTTCTGTCCTCACACGTCCTCTGCCTGGCCCTGCCACCTCCCTCCTGTGAGGACCCTTGTGATTACATTGAGCTGCCCAGATGATTCAGGATGATCTCCCATCTCAGGACTCTTGACTGAATCACACTTGCAAAGCCCCTTTTATTGTCGAAGGTGACGGAGTCCCAGTTTCCAGGGATTCGGACACACATGTCTCTGGGGCCATCATTATACCTGCCACAGAAACCAACTTGCATTAGCTTCGGCAGTGAGGAGAGTTTTATTAGAGCTTATACAGCTGTCCATAGAACCTGCTTTGGATGTCTAACATGTAATAGGCCTCCAATAAATGAAAGCTGAGTGAAAGAATTAATAAACGAAATAATAATAAATGAACCCAAAGACACAGAGAGCCAGTTCTCAGGACCAGACTAGACCAGGGATTGAAAAAGCTGTCAGTATTCTCCCTGCTTCTGTCATTTCTGCTCTGCATGTCAGACCTGGGCTGTCTTCACAGACAGCTTCCTCCACTTCTCTGGTTCTGGGGCAGGTTGTGGCTCATCTCACTCCTGAGTGTGTTAAAATTGGAGCCAACCAGTTTAATGTCTATCTTTCTTGCTCTCTCTCCCCCGACCCCTCCACTTTCTAACACCAAATTCCCAGTGATTGGCCCAGTTTGGAACAGTTGTACACTCTGGTTCAGTCAGCTATGGACAAAGGTTAGGTTCACATGGTACAAAATGGCTGCTGTGACCAAGCCATTGCTGTTGTCCCAGAGAGGTGGGGGAGCATTCACTGTAGTCTGATAAGCCCTGCACTGGGGTGTGATGCGTGCTCAGTAGACCCCAGCCCAGAGGAGGAGCTTATCAGAAGGGACAGATCTCCCCATCTCTGCTCACTTTCATGCCTCCTTTCTTCCACTTATGCCCACAGGCCACAGAGGAGCGCTTGAAGAAGGAATCCAGCCACAGCCTCCAGATCCAGCACCAGGCACACCAGCTGGAGCTTCAGGCCTTGGAGGAGAAGGCCCAGCAAAAGCTCCAGGGGGAGCTGGGGAGGGTGCAGGCCCAGCAGGCTCTGCTGCTAGGTATGCAACCAGCTGCACACCTGGAGGGCCTAGCCACATGGCAGGGTCCACATGTGGAGACTGGGCACGGTGGGGCCCAGCGGTCAGGAGGCACACGGGCCAGGGTGACTGTCCTGGCTCCACCACAACTAGCTGTGGGACATGAGCTGGATTGGCAGGGGGTCACCCTCAGCCATTTTCCTTTTCTATAAAACGGAGTTACAACTCTCTGACCTCATAGGAGGTTGTGTGGATTTGAAGAGATATTAAATATAAAGTGCCTAATATATAACATGAGCCCATTGAATGCAGATTATAATACAGGTTTCCCCCAATATCTGAAAATGGAGCTTTCTTATGAAACCTTTCATAAGACAGAATGGCATAAAGCGAAGAACCAATTACCATTAATTTATATGGAAATTTTTTGAGTGTTCTTAGACCCCCAAAGTCACCTCTCTCAGGCTTCTCTGATACCTTGAAATGGACCTTGATAGTGGATGCAAAAAATACATGGAGATAAAGTATCATTCAGACACAGTTCCCAGCTCTCACGCACAGTGCAAAGCTCTGGCACCGTGATGCTGAGATGCTGAGTGTCTTCTGGGAAGGGAGCTTGGGGGCCACTCTCGCTGCATGGGGCCCTCGCTGCCTCCGTAAAGGCTCCATGCAGCACATATGCTGAATGCTCAAAAAGAGCATTTTGCCTTTTTTTTGTAAAAGTGAAAATCTTTTTTGGATCTTTCCATTAGCAAAAACAGGTACTAATGTATGTCTTTTGTAAAAATGAAGTCATGTAACTTTTGAAATTTCAAAATGTGGGGGTTACCTATATTATTATCATCTTTATTATTATTATTGAATGTACACCAGATCTCTGGGTCTTCATGACAGTTTCATGGGATTGCTTCAACTTCTCACTTCTGTCCTGAAGATCTCTGCAAATCTGAGGGGCTCAGGCCCGCAGGCTCCTGCCCATTGCTCTGCTTCCTTTGCCCGCTTCCACATTATCCCGGCATGAAACTCACCTCCTCTTCAGTTTCCATATCAAAAACCATTCTGGAAGTTACCAGAAGCAGTAAAATCTCCAGAGCCAAACTGCCTGGCTTGAAGCCTGGCTCCAACACTCACTAACTGTGTGACCTTGGGCAATTACTTAACTGTTCTGTGCCTCGGTTGCTCATCTATAAAATGGGAATAATAATACTCTCCACCTTCCTGGACTATTGTTGGAATCATATGAGTAAATATACAGGAAGTGCTTAGAACAGAGCTTGGTACACAGTAAACATTTTGTAAAAGTTCACTGAATTCAGTCATTATTACTGAATGTTCTAACATCCCATCGCCGACTCCAGAGGCCTCTCTCCATTTTGGCAGATCATTTCTCTCCCTCATTTTCTCCTTTACTCTCATCTTCCTTCTCACTTTCAAGAGCAAGACAAATGCCTCTCCCTATTTGATGCTAGCATTAAAGACCTGGCGTGTCTAGCATTAAATATTTTTTTCAAACCCAGACAGGGCTCTTCTTAAGAGAATTCTGGGCAAGAGAATTTTCTTTACCTCCATAAGTGAATAAGATGTACCTGCTGCTTGGTTGACTTTGGAGTACACAGTGTGTCCTACTGACTGCATGTCAGCACATCAGCTGTGCACATTTCTGGAGGAAGTGATGTGGGGAGCAGGAAAGAGAGAGAGTCCCACAGTTTTCTCAGCTATGCTGGAATAGAGGCAGCCGCGTGGGAAATGCTGAAGTTCGCAGCATCTAAAGAAGACACGTTATGCAAGATAAAATCCAGGTTGTGCCACGTGTCTCAGGTGCAAGACTTCCCAGATTCAGATCGGGCTGGACACCCCTGGAGATCCCCACACCCCACAGCAGCTGCCTCCTCCCCACCCCTCTGATCCCACAGCAGCTCATCTTTTCCTGGACAAAAGATGCAGGAAAGACCCTAGGAATTCTCAGCACCTGCCCCAGGAAGAAAAGGCTTTGCAGACTCTGTGATGATAGTGAATCATAGCCTTTGTGGGAGGCATTGGGTGGGTGGGAGCACCTATCACAACAGGGTGATATTAGATACTCCTGGTCCCAATCACTCCCGTGTGTGAGACACACCTGGCCAGCAGGGAAGCGAGTGTCCACCAGATTACCTGAAACACTAGGGTGGGGACCCAGACATGCTGGATGAATAGTGGGTGGGTGGGTGGATGGGCAGGTGGACAGATGGATGGGGATGGATGGATAGGTGGGTGGATGGATGGATGGGCAGATGGGTGGATGAATGGCTGGATGGTGGGAAGGTATGAAAGAAGAGGGGAGGGTAATGAATGAGCCCACTGTAGCTCATGCTTTGCTAAAGGGTTTTGTTGCACATATATTTGTGATAAAAGATTTTTTAAAATTTATTTTGATTTTTTAAATAAGCATAGAAATCACTATATTAAAACTCTAGTGGAGAAAAAAGATAACCAAGTAAAATTTTCAACATACTATCATCAGAGTTTATTGAGCTTTTACATGTGTTTAATATACCATACCTTTCAGAGATGCTAAGGCAGCTTATGGGGAATCTTTTACAACTGATATACTTTTACAATGTCATTAATTTCTACTCTAAGCATCATTTGTTTATTTTACATTATCTGTTGAGCACTTGCTCTATATGTAGGCCTGTACCGGGTATCTTATGGTTTATGGAATTATTGGAACAGTGTTTTAAAAAGTAATATGCAATAACTAAATACAGAGTCTTAAAAGTACACAGAAAAGTATCAAATTTACTAGCACTTGAAACCTATCTTCTCTTTAAAAATTAATAGCTTATTGAATAGCATCTGCCCTCTCAGCAAATACTCATCCTGACATGATGGTTTTCTGTGTCTTTTGATCATGCTGGGAAGCGTTACACACCAGAAACCACCCACCGTCCGCAGAGGACCCCGAGGTCCTGGCTGTGCTCTTCCCTGCACGGTTCCCCAGGGTGCTTCTGGCTTTACTCCTGATCCCGTTGGGAGGGCGTGCCACCTCCTGCCTCCACAGCCCAGCCAAGGCCTCACCTCCAAAGGGAGGGGAGCCCGTGAACGTTTTGTCCCTTAAGAGCCAACATAAATGTCAACATTTCCGACGTGAGACCCACACCCCGACAAGAGGCCCCTGGGTCATCTGATCATTCCCTGTTCTTCTCTTCATTTTCTTACCCGGTGACAAGTGTCACCTCAGGGTCCGGCTCTGGGCTCAGGCTGCCGCAGCCTTCCTCACCACCCATCCTAACCAGCAGCGGCTGAGCAGGTGGTTCACGATGACTTAGAACCACTTCAAGTTTTGAATCCCAACTCTATCACTTACTAGCTGGGTGGCTCTAAGCTACTAACTAAGCTTCTCTAAGGCTCAGTTCCCTCATAAAATGGGAGGATAATACTGGGTAGAATGGTTGTAGGGCTTAAGTGAACACATTTTGGAGGGTTTAGTGCATTCAGTGCTCTATATACTTAGCCATTTCTGTTATCTTAAAGTAAGTTTGGAGAACGTGGCCCAAAGCTGCCAGCAGCTACCCACCCTGCCCCACCCCAGAGATGTCGCTCCTGTAGGACAGACGTCGTCTTCACTGTGCCTGACCTGCTGCTGCTCTTCCTTCTCCAGATTCCCTCAGGCAGGAGCTGTTGGAGCAGCGGGCTGCCTGCTCTGAGCACCAGAAGGACTTGGAGGCACTGCAGGCTGATCTGAGGGCTCCAGGCAGCACGGGCAGGCAGCAGCCTACTGGCCAGAGCCCAGGGGACAGCAAGGACCAGGCCATCACAGCAGAGGTCAGCACCCCTGTCCTGCCCACACACCCCCTTGAAGCAACATTAGGCCTGCTGTGAGACACTCATAAAGGAGGGGCTCCAGTGCTCAGGCACCCCCTGTCTGCAACGGGAAAACCTTTCTCCTTCCCTAGTCCTGGGAGACACCTGCAGGCTCCAGTCTTAAAAGGCAAAAGCAGCTGTTAAGTGCTACATGTTATTTTTTGTTTAGATAAGGTAACATTTCAAGGTGCTGGTGCCAGACAGGCCCTAAAGACAGCCAGTCTGGGTGGGTCACTCCTTCACATCTGCTGAGAATTTCTCAGAACACCTCCTGAGACAGACTCCCAGTCTGGTCCTCCCGGTTCCCCTGAGTGGGGGCTGCCTTTGTTACTGGAGCTCAAGGCTAACCCTCCTTGAACTTCCTGGTCAGACTTGCCCGTTAGTCCCTTCCTTGCACGTCCGCAAATCCTGCTGAGCTGGGGAGCACAGTGACCTCCTAACAGCCCGGGTGTCTCTCCCCCAGCCCACTGCTTACAGCTGCAGCTCTTTGTCTAAAGCACATTTGCATAAAGCCTTCAGTGGCTCCTACTGCTATAGGAATAAGGTCCAAACGCCTCTGCCTGGCATTGGAAAAGCCTTCATCCAGTGGCTGCACGTCGCATCTGTAGCCATGTCCTCCTTGGCTCTAAACGAGGGCTCTGCGTCCTGCCTCTGGGCCTTTAAACGTGTTGCCTTCCCCCCCTACTCCTGCCGGGCATGTGCCTCCGTGCCGGGCCTCCCCTCACACCTATGACCAAGCTCTGAGCTCCTCAGCGCTTCTTGGTGCTGCAGTCCGGCTGGCACAGGCGCCCACTGCCTGCTCCTGTGAGGGACCCACCACTTCCTGTCCGTTCCTGTTTCCTCACTGAGATTAGGAGTGTTTTGAAAACAAGCCATATCAGCTTGGTCTCATCCCCACCCCACTGCCAGCGCTCAGCACAGTGTTCTGCTCACAGTGGGGTCTCCACCAGGGCTTATGGGTGCTGAGGACTAGTTTCTGTCCCAGCCCTGCTGAGGATCCCAGGGACATGAGGATCATCATTTTGCTGGCACTGAGCACCTGAAGGCGATCTTGTGTTTAATGAGAAATGCTAACAAATGATGAAGCCCCAGGAGTTCAGCCCCGTCAGCAGAGTGGAGCAGAGGGAAGTCCGAGTGTGTCGCATCTCAGTGTTCTAGACTGGAGGGAGCCACCCTTACCTGTGGAAGGGGACAGGGTAATGTGGGACTGTGACAGCTGGTGACCAGAGGGTCCAGTGCTGGGCACTGCAGTGATATGCGTCCCAAGGACCTCAGATAGACATGGGGCCACTTGTGTGCCAGCTCTCACCTCCACCTCACCGGACGAAGCCCTGAGACCTCAGGTGAAAGCCCACCCAGAGAAGAAATGTGGGGGTATCAGCAAGGAGGAACAGCCCCAGCGGCAGGAGTGAAAGGGGGAAGGGGGGACCCAATACAAGGATGCGTCCACAATTTGGCCACCGCTGCAGGTAAGTGGTGCTCCATCCTGGGGCCGTCTGAGGAGCCCTGGGAAATAATTCTCATATCTGTCCCAACCAGGGACAAAGGGGGAAACATCTATCAGCTTCACTCCCCCATTGGTTCAGGGGTGGCCCCACAGGGACCTTAACCAGGCTCTTCCACATTAAGTACATCTAAGTGCCACGTGCCCATGAGGCCCGTGGTGTCACACGTGCAAGCTCCAGGGTAGGAGGCAAGAGGTATGCTGCCTGTAAACACTGTTCAGTCCCATGTGGAATGGGCAAATGCACACGCCTTCAGGCATGTTTGAGGCTAATTCACTGATTAACTCTTAACTCTGACCCCATTTGATGTTGGACACAAATCACTGATTTCTCTCTGAAACATGGACATTTAGGCATACTTCCATTTAGCAAGCATTTGTTTGGTACCTACTGGATCCCAGCTACCAGGTGCTTGCTGTATGATCGAAAAGCTGCAGAGGAGTTGCTGGTGCCTTCTCAAACAGCTCCCAGGCTCACGGAGGAAACCAGCGGATCTTGAGTTAAATTTGATTTAAACAAATCAGTGCACTTCACTATAACCTCTACGCAGAGGAGCTTGGTGTGCCAGGGAAGAGAAAGCTTATGGCTTCTCCCCTGCGGGCGGGGAGGGCGCCAGGAGGCAGTAGGTGTGGGTGGGGAGGACCCTGGTGGGCAGAATGGCAGGGAAGCATCAAACAGGCGGATGGCTTGACTTGTTTCGATTTAAGCCACATTCTTGGCTCACCAGCGTCGTTGAACTTTCTAAGGGCCAGATCTGGCCAACTCTCAAGGCGGAAACCCTTGAAGAGACTGGTGGGGAGCTCCTGAACCAGGGCCCTGCTTTGGGCGATGGTGATTCGTCCCTGAGTTGAGACAAGTCTCCAGCGCGGCGCGCAGGGCCCTCTGCGCCCTGACAGCCTTTGCGCCTCCTGAAACCTCCCTCCGGGGCACTTTCTCCCCAGGAGGGGGTCGGCCCGGGCCAGGCGGGCTCCCCGAAGGGCGGCGCTGACGGTCCCAGCGAGGGATGCGGCCTCTGGGAGGAGAACGCTCAGCTCAAGGACGCGCTGCGGCGGCTGCGGGCCGAGGTGGAGCAGCACCGGCAGGAGGCGCTGCAGCTCCGCGACCAGCGCAGGTCGGTCCGCGAGTCCGAGCTGCACTCATCACCCGTTCCACCAACCCTCGGTGACCTCTGAGATCTAAAACTGGGTCCCCCGCCCCGACATTTAGGTCTGGGTCCATAAACTGCCAAAGAAAGACTCCTTAATACTCTAGCACGTCACTGATGTTACATTCGTGGCCCATTTAAACTACCAGTGCCCTAGGCGTTCTAGATTTCAAACCTGCAGAGGATCTCCTGAAACAGGAGGGACCCCCTGTGCCCTACAAATCGGGGAATTTATGGAATCAGACCTAACCATACCAGAAGTATCCTTAAAACCAGCCTCAGCGAGGTGTGAGGTGCAAGAGCTCCGGCCGTGCTGTGTGCCCTCAACTAACTGTGTGAGTTTGGGTGAGTGGGCTAACCTCTCCCAGACGGGGCCTCATCTGTGACACGGAGACGCCACCGCCGCCTCTGCGTGCTGCTGGAGGATGCACGGAGATGTACGCCAGCCTAGCGCCGTCCCAGGCAGGCCGGAGGCACCGGGTTAACTGTGGCCGTAACTGTTATGACCCAGTCCAGCCTGGAGAGCTCATTGTCAGTCCTGAATACACAGGTTTTTTTTTTTTAACATTTGTTGTTAAGTTTATAAGTGCAAATTTAATTTCATTAATAGCTATATGACTTTTTGGGTTACTTGTCTCTTCTTGAGTTGAGTGTGGGTAGTTTGTATCTTTGATGAAAGGGATTTGTCCATTTCCTCTCAGTG